CTGCTTCCCTGTGTGCTTCCCGTATTTCCCCCAATCCAGCAGTCAGTTACATACACAGACATGAGGATTTTAAGAACAATGAGTAGATAAAATTAAAGCTACTCATTTAACTATTTAGTTTGTAAAATTATTGCATCCACCATTAATCAAACAGATCATTCTTGCTGCTCTTTCTTTTAGAGATCCGGTGCAACAGCAATGAAAATCAATGAAAGCATTCCATCTGTGTTTAAAAATTCTATTACTAAAAGTTACTCAGATGAAATCGATATAACGTTTCACTAGGTAAAACATAGTTTTCTACAAGACTGTTATAAAAGTCTACCCTAATTTTTTTTATAAAGGAGCAATATCTGAAACATAAAAGTTAAGACTATGAGAAAGTATCCAGTTGCAAGAGATAGCTTTACATCCACTGCCCAAGCTGTGTGGACCAGCTGAGCAACAGTCAACAGAAATGCTGAAATTCTAATTATATCCTATGACTGTCAAAAGGAAAACAAAAACTAGGAACTAGATTTTTAAATCAAAATTCAAGTGTTATATTTTAGCACATATAATAATATACTTTGAGAGTCTAAATCATGTTCACAACAGAGCAAAACTATCATTTTTTTTGAAAAAACAGGGAAATTACAAAGAAGGTTACATAGAAAGAGGTAACAAGCTCAAATAATACCCTTTAAGAATGACACACATTTAATTTAATTTCAAAATATTATGTTATTAACAAATTACAGCCTAAGGAGCAAGTTATATGCAACAATAAAATTGCTTATACTATTGATCTATGATATGACTATCATACCCAGGGAAACACTCACAGAATATATATCTGTTTATACTTCTAATGGGCCCAGATTGAAATACAAGTGTTCTTGGGTGAAATTAACACCCTATGCAGTAATTTTTTTAAAAAAAATCAGTTTAATCACAGGAAATGTTTTTTTGAAGTCACAGAGAAATGTTTTACCAACCAAGAACTCTGACTTTTTTTAATTTTTTAACAACACTTAGTTTAAGAAATAAAGTATACTTTGGGTCTAATTTGCTGCAAAAATTAAAATGAGAAACATTAATCTTAAAAGAATTCTTTGATAGATAAAATGAAAATGTCATCAGGAGAACAATCATTGCAATCAAAATTACTTTAATGCTATAACATGAGTACTCTTAAAAAAAATGTCTACTTCTTCTACATCAACAAAACACGAAAATTCGTGTTCTGAATGATTCATGTTTTAAATTATTTTTAATAGCAAAGGCTGTTTTTGCTATTTAGTAAAAATATATTTAAAACATGTAACTGTATTATACCACCCAAAGTTTCATAGTTGAGTTTGAGACATATTTTACTTCTATTTCATTCTCTGGAAAAGAAAAAGTATTTATAGAGAATATTTTCATGAAACTTGCAACATGAGATATATGTCTTGAAAAAAGGAAAAAAAAACCTAAGCTAAGCATTGAAAGTAAATGTACAAGAAATGCCAATGTAGAGTAAGATGTGAAGGGAACTAGAGATTGTCTATCTCTACTAAAGAAATCAAAAAGAAAGAAAAAAGAAAGAAAACAAAACAAAACCACTAAACCCTAAAACACTCGTGCCAAACAGTGGCTAAACGCCACATACAGCCTCCCAAGATGTCAGATTGTAGCTCTAGCAAAACAGTAGCTAAGATAGGGCTCAAACAAAACAGTGATTTCTGCTGACACACTATATATATTAAATTTGGGATTTTTCATGAGCAAACTCCATTTACTTATGTTTACTTACAAGTTTATTATATTATTCACATAACGAGCAGGTACAGGAGGTATAAATGAGTATAACAGCAACTTATGAAGCCTGCTGATTATTCACATCTCCAAAACTAAACGATTTAGCTTCAGTCAAGGAAGGGAGACTCTCAATTTAGACTCTTTAGTGACCTTTGATGCTTAATTTTTTTGTATCATTTAAGCAGTTGGAAAAAAGAAAAAGGTATCTGGATAAGACAGAGAGAAACAGAGCAATAGGTAAACTGGCAAGATAGATATATTTACCCAGCCCACCAGGCTCTTATGATAAAGAACTGAGGTTACACATGATTGAATCAAAGCCCTGAGGTACATCAAGAAAAACTTTCAGCTGCCTTAAGAGAAGCTCATGGGTGTTCATGTGATTTGACTGCAGACTAGGATATCACTTCCTTTCCTACTGACAATTGGAGACAAACTCAGAGAAGTGGATCATTGCCATGGAAATGAATCATGGAACCTACACAGGAATTGTATTTTTTGTGTGGACACAGTCTGACCTGTTTAGGATACTGTTAACTATGTGTACTAAATAAGGACTTTTAAAATATTTTTCATATATTCTCCTTAAGGTCAATTATTCAATTCACATGGACTGAAGCAAATAGCTGTAGTGCATTTATAAAAAGAGACACTCATGTTTCCATAATGCTCAATTTTGAGCATTTTTTGAAGACTACAACATATTGTTTTCTTACTCTTAGTCAAATGAAACTCATTTAAGGTTGTAATCTGTACATGAATTTTTTTTTGGTCAGTCCTGGGAACTTGAACTCAGAGCCTAGGCGCTACCCTTGAGCTTTCTTTGCTCAAGGCTAGCTCTCTACCACTTTGAGCCACAACACCACTTTCTGTTTTCTGGTGGTTCATTGGAGATATGAGTCTTAGAGACTTTCCTGGCTTTGAACCGCAATCCTCAACTCAGCCTCCTGAGTAGCCGGGATTATAGGCATGAGCCACCAGTGCCCAATGAAATTTTTATTTTTATTTTGACTCCTTTATATAGATGAATAATCATTCCAATAATTATTAAATAAAAATCTATGAATCCATGTTATACACTTTACAAACCAGTAGCATTAAGCATATACTATTGTATAAGGACAATACCAGTAAGTATCTAGTGACATTTACTTATGCTATATACTACATGAAGGGCCTTGCATAAATTATTTTGCATTTCTTCACTGAAATGTATGAAGTAAACTGTTAAAATCTCAACATTTTAGAGAAAGATTATTTTTTATGATAGGAAAAATGCTGAACTGATTTGTCCATCACTGAAGTCAGCAATGTCTAAATTCACACATACTGTGAAAAGTTACTGAAAAATGTTATATTCATTAAGTTACAACTTGTAAGATTTAGCTTTTTGTCTTAATAAAAGAATCCAAAGATACATATTGATGATAGTATCTATTCTCTTTAACTAGAACAAAGTGTAAATTAAATATTAATTCTTGAGCTTGCAGGTCACATGAATATATGTTCCCTACTATAAAGAGATGCTAGGTAATAAATTGATCATGAGAGCAAAGCCAAAGGAACTTGGAGGGAAGGATATGTAAACACAAAATGTCTTAAAACTATATGTATTAAGGCAGTAAATATAATGGCTTGCTCTCTTACTGTAACAATTGTTTTTTTTTAACTCATTCACTCAGTAAATGTCTGCAAAATAATAGATAATTTGAATGTGTTTTCTGCAGTAAATGTTTATTTTGTTTTACAGATAGTTTTGTGTTAAGGAGAAATTTTCATTGAGATGCCTATCTTTTAACTATAATCTTTACATCAGTTTTCTCCTAAAGGTAGTTTGTTGCTATTTTTTTTAGTTTTTATGAGAGACAGAGTCTTGCTATGCAGACCAGGCTAGCCTTGACCTCACAATCCTCTTGCTTTAGCCTCCTAAATGCTGGGATTTTAGGCATGCGACAGGACACTAGAGTGCAAGATAGTTTTACAGAAGAAAACTATTTTTTTTATCCAAAGTAAGTTGTTATGCAATCACTTTAATTTGCATAACCTATATTCCAAATATGCAGTTAATGTTATTGTATAATATTAGCTATAATTTTCTGTATTAAGTAACTGTATTAACTTCTGAGGTGTGAGTATTACCAAGTATCAAAAAGAAAATAAAATAACCTAGAAACATACTTCCAAGAAAAAAGCAAATGGAACCACGTAACTCTGAGGTACAATGACCTCACAGGAAACATATTTTCATGAAAGGTTTCTGCTATATAAAGTGATATGAAAATGTTGAAGATAAGCAAATTAATCAGAATGTAATTTACAATGGTGCACTGGGTAGCTAAAATAAGATTGATATCCAAATACCTAAAAAGCAAAGTCTTAAACATCAAATCAATTTTAACTAAGATTACATTTTAAGAAATCTATTTTAAATAACATTTTATTTAATTTATAAACCAGTTTCCAAAGAAAACAAGAAAGAATCTCTTGGAATTTATATATATAACAGTTCACGACTCATATGATATATGCTTGCTCTTCAGATACTGTGTATGAGCAGACATAAGGAATGTCAGGGCACTATTGAAAATATTAAGCAGTTGTGTAACACAACCAGAACTCACCGTTCCCCTTCCCCCGGGCCCTATGCCACCTAGATGTCCAACTTATTATCAAATAGAGTGGTTAAGAGAGGGTGTGAATACATAAGGAATACAATATTTTTAACTTTTCCTTAAAGATGCATTAAATATCCACTTGGATATCTCCAAGGCAACTTCAGATATTAACCATTTACAAACACATGTTAGATATGTATTACTTATCTAACAATAGGAACAAAAAGACAGTGAGACATTACCAAATGATCGAAAAGACAGGTGGAATGCAACAGCCAATGAGAATAAAATCGGTCCTCTTTTTAGATACAGCAAGTAAATACATGTGTGTCCAAACACCAATAAACAAAAAAGGTGGAAATGCATTTTGCAGAGATGTGATCGTTTGTCTGCTTAAATTTAAGAAACATGCAAATAATGTCTCAGACAGGCCTTAGATCTAATGAGAAAGGCATCCCATCATCACACCAGCATACATAAAGGGCTAGGACTATCATTTATGGACAGGAAGATACAGAAAAAGTAAGCCAAATCACTGTCACAGACTATGGCGTGCCACACACCTGTAATACATGAAGATTCTCCTCACCACTCAAGGCTTACCTCATAAGACCAGACACACTGCGTCCCACCAAAGCGCCGAACACATCTTCCTACTTCCACATCCTCATGAGTCGTGTACATCTCTCGCAGGCATTTGCCAATATGTGGCACCATCCTCCTAAGCACTTCTCTACTGAAGATCATGCCGGGTCCTCCCATACAGAAATTCTCCCCGGGTTCCAGCCCCAGCTTTCCAAGCTCTTCAATGTTCCCCAGGCCAGTCTGTCCTAGGTAAAGAGGCTCACTGCTGTTCAGGGATCGCAGAAACTCTTCTAACTTATCGCCTGAAATGAGAAAGGCAGCCATCACTCCCATCCCACACTTCCCAATCTACATTACAGTGATCCATTACACTTTCATAAGAGTTTATCCACTTTTGGTTAAGGTCACCATAAAACAGTAACAAATTAACAATCATCAGTCTTGTTAGAAAATGGTGAAATAATGATGAGGATAAAGACATTAGATGTAATGAAAATTCTCAAAAACAAAATCATACTAAATATTGATATTCTGTGTTGTTTTGATAGACTGTTGATAGCCAGATATATTTTTTTCCTTATGCTTAATTTAGTTGTGTCATTCATCAAACTTCAATCATGTACAACTAGTATCATTTTGGCAAGTATTCAAATCAAATTCATCTTGGGAAAAATTGTTTCAGAAAAAAATACACTTGTTACAAGCAAAATAATGTAATGAGTGTTTAGTTTCCATCAGGAGAAAGCATTTAATAATATTCTGTAGCTGAAACGGACCGTAGGCATTTGATGTTCTACCTAGGACTAAGTAAGAAGTTGTCTTCTGCAGCCCCCTACTCAGTAACTTGACTGCCTTTTGCCATGGAAAGACCTTCCCAATTATTATCCTGATCCCATGATGTGTCTTCTGTATGTCAAGGAATTTTGCTTTGCAAAACACATTTTAATTTAAAAAATGCATTTTACTCTTAACTAAAATGGAAAGTATATGGCTTTAAAGGTCTGAAAAGTCTTTCAAAGCATTACAGCAGATGACAAAAATAGGTGCTGCTAATGCTTCTAGAAATTGTCTGGAATGTGACCCTCGGTCTAGGAAACCTTGGTAATTTTACAAAGAAATAGATCAAGGATTACTCCCAAAGTTCCATACAGCATAAAACATAAGGTAAAATTAAGTGAGGACACTTCTGATAAAAATATTTTTAATGGGTCCTAAAGAGTAAGTTTCAGAAATGCAGCTGTAACGGAACATCATTTTTACTAGCAGCTGTAATGGAACATCATTTTTACATTCCATCATTGACATTTGCTATTCCAAAGGAGCAGAAAATTGATTTTTGCCCTCTCACCACAATCTCAGGAAATACCTATTCATTAACACCACATTAACTCTGCCTCCAGATTGGTCCTTGATATTTGGGTGGGTTGACATTTGCATTATGTGAAAGATACTACGTTGACAAAAGGAAAGCCAAGAGGCTGCAAGTAAAGTGGCATAAACTAAGGAAGCGCTGCCCGTCTCTGACCAAGAAACTAGGAAATGTAGAAAGCACTGAGACACTGTTTTCCGGATAACCTTGTTCCTTCCCTTGCGTATAGCAGCAGTGGTCTCATCTAAAAGGATTTACTCCCCATCCTGGGTTTAGAAATTCTCGGGCCTGACCAACCCACACTCTGGGTTTGGGGACCACAGGACCGCACCTTCTTTAACACTAAACAAGTTTTCTTGCCCTGTGACTGCATAGGATGCACAGATGCTCTGGAGAAGATCTAGTACTCCTGTTTGCTAGCACAGCTTGGATCTCCCAGGACTTGGACTCTGAGTGTTTGCCCTTCCTCTCCACCCAACAATCTTGCTCACGCCTTGGGTTCTTATTGGGGTGTGGCAAGGAATAGGGCACAGCCCCATAATGCGCTGTCCTGGCCGGGAGAGACGCGCTGGGGCGGTGGGGATGCCCCCAGGGCTCCCATGCGTGGCAGGTGAGAAAAGGGCACAGGCATGGGGGTCCGGGAGTCCCGCGTTCAACAGTTCTCAGGAGTTCTGAAACTGCTAGAGATCAAGGTGAAACAAAAGAACAGAGGCAGAGACCTCTGGAGTGGCTTTGGCTGGCACCCCGCCTGCGGCCTGGCTCACCGAGGACACGCCCCTCCGTCCCCGCCGGCGGCCTCGGAGCGGGGCGGACAGAGTGGCTTCTCGGAACCCCCTTCTGATCTCACAGGGTGGAGTAGGGACGCCGGCTAGGTGGTGAAGACAACCGCCAGCCGCGAGGAAGGCAAGTAGGGCCGGGCAGGTGGAAGGGTCCCGACAGCAGAGCGCGCGGCGCCGAGGGAGGCGAACGGGGCGGGGGCTAAGGGTGACGGCCGCAGAACAGGGGCGCTGGGGGGGGGAGGGGAGGCTCAGTGCATGTGCGGTGGGGTGAGTGGCGGGCCGGGGCCGGGGGGCCGGGGAGGGCGGTGGAGAGGAGGGTCCGGGGGTGGACAAGTGGGGTGTGGACGGGAGGTCACCTTTGATGTAGACGTCGTCGTCCGCGCGCATAAACCACTCGTACTGGTCCAGGTAGTGGTCGTGCATGTACTTGATCATCATGAAGGACTTCTTCTGCGGAGGATAGGAGTCGTCCACCCCAGGCAGCGCGACAACAGGCAGGGGTAGCGCGGGCTGGCCGCGCGCGGAGCCGGCAGACTGCTCGCTGGAGAAGAACTCCACGCGGCCGGGCACGGAGCGCGCCCAGGTCCGCTGCGCCGCCAGCGCGCGGCCGCCCAGGTACTTGTGCGCGGTCATCACCCCCACGTACAGG